ATTATTTTGAAATCCAAAATACACATTTTAGAATCAAAATAACAAACCCCCTTTTATACATTTTGAAACCCTAGATCTCAAAATCAAACCATTTAACAAAGTGCCCAAAAATCTAGGTCAAAACCCATAAGAGTGAGTAGGAATCCCTACCTCAAAAGATGAAACCCAACGAAGGAGATGACGAAAATGAAGATGCTCCAAATCACAAATTTCTCGGATCAAATGATGGCCCTCGACGATCAGCAACCTTTTTGTAAAGGCCAAAGGTGAGGAAACAACTTCTACTAGATCAATACTTAGAGAGAAGTGGAGGTTTTAGAGAGAGAAGCTCTCAAATAGCGTTTTTAAAAAGTAAGAGAGAGTGTGATAATGTAAAAAGTGACTTCAAAATGCCCAACTGTCTTCTGATATACGACAGGTCCGCTCGAGCGAAAAACACAACGCTCGAGCGCCAAGAATAAAATACTGAATTCGCTCGAGCGTAAGAAGGCCCGCTCGAGCTCCAAGACACAAGAATAAAGTACATCCGCTCGAGCGTGAAAACCAGCCCGCTCGAGTGTAGATTTTCCCCTCCCAAAACTTACACCAAAAAAGTACTACCCGCTCGAGCGCCAACAAGCCCGCTCTAGCGCAATCCGCTCGAGCGCAGGAAATCCGCTCGAGCATAGAAATCACACCTGCAGAAGTTTTGCAGAGCACGAAAATACTGGGAGTGTGCAATCTCCGCTCGAGCGTTAGACGACCCGCTCGAGCGGAACGACCAAAAACATGGTAACAAGAAATTAGACCAAGGCTCAACCCACCTGCTTGAAACATGCCCAATACATCCTAAAACTCAATCAAATAGAATTAAAGGACGACAACAAGGTAGACACAACGACCAACTCCACGGAACCGAGTCCGGAATATAACTGAACAGTTAAGGGAATACCAGAATCGCTATAACCTTCCCACCTTAAAGAATTTCGTCCCCGAAATTAAATACAAGTTTTTCAAAAACAAGTTTTCTCCATTCCCAACAATATTATAACATAATGTTAAACAATCCGACCCGTTACCAGTCAATCCCATCACTTTGCAAGAGGCATATCACATTATACATAACAACCTGCATTATCAACATGCATTCCTTTGAAATTTACCCATTTCAACTCATTTTCCACAATTCCTTAACACATGCAACATTAATATCATACTTGCATTTTCACAATATACTCAACATGCACAACCTTAACACAGCTTCCATTTACCAAAACATTTACAATGTTTTACAACTTAAGACATATATAATGTTCTTAAAGTTCAATATTATTACAAAATTTCATTACATGATTACACATCAACAAACATGTCCGGATACTTTTCACAGATTTCCAACTCACGTTCCCAAGTGGCTTCCTCCACTCCGTGATGCTTCCACAAAACTTTTACCAAGAGAGTGGTCTTGCCTCGCAAGACTTGATCCCGCGTATCCAACACCTGAACCGGTCTCTCCTCATACGAGGCATCCTCATCTACCTCTAAGTCGGTCCAATCTAACACATGGGACGGATCCGGCTCATACTTCCGAAGCATACCCACATGAAACACATCATGCACCCCGGACAACTGCGGTGGTAAAGTCAAACGATAAGCAACTTCCCTAATCCTCTCAAGGATCTCAAAGGGACCGATAAACCGAGGGGATTACTTCCCACTCTTCCCAAACCTCATCAAACCTCGCCTAGGTGATATTTTCAAGAAAACATGATCACCTATCTCAAACGCCAAAGGCCTCCTCCTACGGTCGGCATAACTCTTTTGGCGACTCTGGGCTGTAACAAGCCTCCTACGGATAAGCTCAACTTTCTCCATCGTCTCCCTAACCAACTCTGGACCCAACAAAGGTGCATCTCCTACCTCGGCCCAACAAACTGGAAACCTACACGATCGGCCATACAAGGCCTCAAACGGTGCCATACCGACGCTAGACTGAAAACTATTGTTGTAGGCAAACTCCACCAAGGGCAAGTGCCTCTCCCACGTCCCACTAAAGTCAAGGACACAACCTCGAAGCATATCCTCAAGGATCTGAATAGTACGCTCGGACTGCCCGTCAGTTTGAGGATGATAAGTCGTACTAAAGGTCAACTTAGTGCCTAAGGCACTCTGCAAACTCTGCCACAACCTAGCAGTAAAACGAGGGTCTCTATCTGAGATGATCGCCACTGGGACCCCGTGCAACCTCACTATGTCCCCAAAATACAAGTCGGCAAGATGATCTACCGAATCTCTCACGTACATAGGAATGAAGTGCGCTGACTTAGTCAACCGGTCTACAACCACCCAAATAGCATCACTACCCCGCTGAGTCCTCGGAAGACCTACAACGAAGTCTATGGTGACATGCTCCCACTTCTACTCGGCAATAGGCAAGGGTTGCAGCAAACCCGCTGGCCTCTGATGCTCAGCCTTCACTTGCTGGCAAGTAAGGCACTTAGACATGAAAACTGCCACATCTCTCTTCATTCCTCGCCACCAAAACTGGCGACCCAAATCCTGATACATCTTAGTGCCTCCTGGTTGCACCGCAAAACGTGAATGGTGAAACTCTCGGAGTACTTCCCCTCGGCAAGACTCCGGCACAAACAAACGGTCTCGGTATCTCACACTCAGGTCGGGATACACCGTCAAACCCTTCTCAACCTTCCCACTGGAGATCTTCTCTCGGAGGGATTCCATCTCAAGGTCACCTCTCTGTGCCTCTAACACCTGAGTCACGAGTGTAGGCTATGCAACAATAGAAAACAAGGCCGCAGCCTCAACAGATCCGCCTAGAAGCAAATCAAACTCGCCAAGTGCACCCAACATCTCCCATTCCCAGATGGCTATACAAGCTACATCACTAATTGATTTCCTACTAAGGGCATCGGCCACAACATTGGCCTTTCCCGGGTGATAGTGCAACTCAAAATCATAATCCTCGATGAATTCCATCCACCTCCTCTGCCTCAGATTCAAGTCTCTCTGTGTAAAAAGATACTTCAAACTCTTGTGGTCCAAGAACACCTCGAACCTCTCACCATAAAGGTAGTGCCTCTAAATTTTTAAGGCAAAAATCACGGCTGCTAACTCAAGATCAGGCGTAGGGTAATTCTTCTCGTGTATTTTCAACTGATGTGAGCCAAAAGCTACCACTTTCCCCTCTTGCATCAACACACAACCTAAACCCTCCCGTGAGGCATCGCAATAAACTGCATAATCCAACCCCCTCTCCGGAATAATCAAAACTGGAGCAGTGGTCAATCTAACTTTCAACTCTTGGAATGACTTTTCGCAAGTCTTACTCCACACAAACTTGACCCCTTTCCGCATCAATCTAGTCAATGGTGAAGCTAGCCTGGAGAAATCTCTCACAAACCGACGGTAATACCCAGCTAATCCCAAAAAATTGCAGATCTCAAAGACACTCTTAGGCTGTGCCCAATCTTGCACTGCCTCAACCTTAGACGTATCAACAGACACTCTTTCCCCGGATACCACGTGGCCTAAGAATTTGACTTCCCGAGAGATTATTTTTAATTAAATTCCATGTATATATAATAATTTAGTTGCCATTTTTTTTTTTTAAATATTAGCAAAGATATGTATCAATACTAACATTGAGAACACCAAGAAAATGAAATCTTAGAATACCACCATAGTGTATTTGCTAATCATTTTTCACATTGGTGGAGGTTGTGCCTCTTTGGGTTGGTTCAGACCATGGTTGTTTTGTTGTGGTTATGCCTCTAATTTGGTTGCTTCAAGCCATTATTGTTTAGTTTGGTTGTCAGGTGGCATGAGAGGTGTCACACTCTTCATGGTTTTCATGAAAATGTTGTTGGCTTTAGAATTTCATTCTTAATTTTTTTTTTTTTAATACAATTCCAAAAGGATGTAGCCATGGCTAGAACTCTGTTTTTGTGTATATAACCAACTCTACTATACAGCTATATCAATATGATATTGAATAAATGATGGGCATGACAACCCAATACTACACACACATGAGGCAAAGAAGATTTCATTCCTATGAGGTATTAGTAAGTTTGTTGTCCCCTAGTACATGGGACTAACTAAGGATGTCATTTACATACTTTTCTAAACACAGACAGCATAGGATATCCATATGTATAAAACATTTCAATAGAGTCACTACTACAATAATGGTTAAAAGTCATACTTTTCAGATTGAATTTAGATAAGAATCATGCTTAAAAGTAGCAAATTATGAGTACAAAACTCTAAAATTTTGCTCAAAGCATGCTTTAGTCTGAATTTGTGTTCAATGTTAAAGAAGTATAGATGAGGAACATGAGGTTGCTCCTTCCATGCTCCATTCTACAGACTTGATGTATAGATTTTATAGCTTTCTTTTGTTTTATTTTAAAGCTATTAAATATATTTTATAATTTTTTTTAAAAAATTAATTTTTTTTTTATTTTAAATTTGACAATTCTAGTGTCTTCTCTGAGCTGTGTTTGCATTGCTGAATATATCTATTGAATTGTGGTTTTAACTTTGCATATCTAAACATCATTTATAATTTTTAGATTAGATATCACTCTCTTGAAGAAGAAATAGCCTTTGGACCTGGTTGTTGGTTGTGAGATTATTTAAGAAGTGGTGCTTCTAGTTTTCTACATCCACTTTCTAATGGTGCTGGGTTCTAAGGCACATAAGGGTTATGTTTACAAAATTGGAATTGTACGTGGTGTTTTTATATTATTTTTGTTACTCTATCAATGACATTTTATTTTGCATGTTGGCCAGCTCTTTGGTTTGGTGAACACACTCATGGAAAATTCCAGAAACACTACAGAGAAGGATCTTTCTATTCAAAGATATGCTGTCATTCCATTATGTCCAAACAGCGGATTAATAGGATGGGTACCAAATTGTGACACCCTGCACCATCTCATTCGGAGTAAAGAGATGCTAGAAAGGTCCGCTAAGGTTCATTTGTTGCTCTATGTGTGTGTGTGTGTGTGCGCGCACGTGCATTTCGTCTAATTTTTTGTGCATGTTTCTGGTATATAGATCACCTTAAATCTAGAGCACAAACATATGCTTAATTTTCCTAAAGATTATGACCATTTGCCACTTATAGCTAAAGTGGAGGTGTTTGAGTATGCTCTGCAAAATAGTGAAGGAAATGACCTGGCAAGGGTATGTTTTCTTCAAGAAATATGCTGCATCTTCGGCTCTCCCCTGTGAATTCTTTTCTCAAGTTAGTTACATTGCCTCTTGATAGGTGTTTTAGTTAAAAAGTTGCACTTTTGAGAATTGGCTGGACAGGAGGACAAATTATACTAGAAGCTTGGCTGTCATGAGCATGGTATCATTTTTCTTCTCGTATTATTTAGATCTTTTTCTTAAGACCAGCAAGATCCGGCTATATATGTTTCCACAAAATCAACACAATATGGCTCCCGTGTATGATCTTATTTGTCAACCTTTTATGCTTTAGAAATGTTTAGATAAGAGAATGTTTCGAAGTAAATGTATGTTATTTGATTATACTTTTCTTTCTTTGGTTAGAATGATATACTGAGAAGGAACCCTGCAAATCACTAACTTAATTTGTGAATATATACCCAATACAATTGTGTGATTAGGTGTCTAAAGTATTTGAATGCTTGTATACATATCTTTTATTGTGTAGATATATGATTTTTTGGGTACTGATATTCTTTCCGTTGTATACAGGGATTCTTTGTTATTCTTTCATGGATGCCTATATATTTTAAAACAGTAAGGCCATAGCTAGCCTAAAAGTTGTAGTTTATCAGCAATTTATCACATACTCAACAAGTGTACTGATTTTATGAGAAAGATGAAATACATGTCTCTTTGTTATAGATATATCATGTCCACCTCAGACAAGCAGCTTGGTCTTTCAAAAAAGTAAAAACATAACCAAAGACAACTTCTATTAATTTTGTTTCCAAAATGTATTTACTAGTAGTCATGGTCCACGCAATGGACTCATGAATATCATGTATGGTTGTCCAATTTTTTATTTTTTAAAATTTCTTTCTAATTTTGATTCAAACAGGCAATAAACAATCATTGATGCTGGTTTCACAAAATTGCATGTAACCTGGAAAACTAGAAGTTTGAATTGAAATATTTTTGTCTACATTTGTTTCTCTTGTTTTACTTTCGGATTTTCCTACTAATCATGTGATACAGTAAGCATCGGGTATATCCTTACTTGCAGTCAATTGGTTTTGTTGGTCCTGGGATTGCGCTCAATGGTCTAACCATGGCAAAGCACACATCAATAGCATCTGCGTGGCTTACTTTAGCTGTTGGGCTAAAATCATTTAGTCATTATGGGTTCCTTGTGAATCTTCAGGTTAGTGTACTCAGAAAAAAATCACTTGAAATTAAGAACAGCATAAATTCTGTTTTCACCCACGTCTGACCTTATTTTCATTCTTTTCTACGAAGCAAGGTTTCTTAAGAAGCAAGGTTTCAAAGGACAATTTAAAGGAAGAGGTATCTCATGAACTCGTAGATCGCCATTTTGGTGAGTCCCGCTTGTTTTATGTTTTTATTTTTCTAATGTTGGTTAGTATATACTAGTTAAAGCACAACAATTTCACTAATTATTAACTAAGATTTAACAAGTTTGAAGATGTATTTAATGAAAATAGATTCATTAGTTACTTCTTACTTAGCATGACCCTTATTAAAATACACATTAACCAAAATAGAGACAAAACTACGTGTATATTTTTTTTGTGTATTTTTGCTAGGTAGTGTTGGAGTTGCTCTAATTTAGTGATGTGATTAATAGGAGCTTGTTATGTATAAAGGAACTTTTGGTTGTTAAGCTAGACTCATTGTGTACACAATTTGTATTGACATGGATAAAGAGGTCTATACAATGTAATTGATAATATATTAATATTTTTTTTTTTGTTTATTTTCTTTGCAGATTGGTTTTTGATGACGTTTGGAAGCATACTTGCAAATCAAGATCAAGTGTTAAATTTTTTTTTCCTGAACTGATACTTGGTTCTAGTTGCAAATCAAGATTGAATGCCGATTTTTTTTTTGTGAACTCCATGTTAGTTCATTTTTGGATTTGCTTTGATGGTTTTTTTGTTATACTTAATGGATTATTATTAAATTTGTTTGATGGATATATTTTGATTTATAATATAAATTTTTTGGTGAATTTTTTTATGGAGTGGCATATAATAGCTAATGGATTTCTTAGTACATTTAAAAGGTTATTGGGATATGAATAGGGATATTTGTAAAATAATAATTTAAATTGAAATACAAAATATGGGACAAGTTTAGTGACGAATTGTTTTCGTCATTTGTATTTGTTATTATGACAAAGTGATTATTTGTCGCTAATAAATATTTTTTGTGACAAAATTTACTATAGTTTATATATGAAGGTTTTCATTAATTTTGTTGTTTGGTGATTAAAAATTTCGTCATGTATATATATTTTTGTTACGAAATATATTTCGTCACCCATGTATGATATTTGGAGACGAAAAATTTTGTCAACTTTACATCTTACTGTGACGAAATTATTTCCTCATCAATGATCAACATGCGTGACAAATTTATTCGTCAACTAAAGTTATAAATGTGGTACTGAAAAACTATTTGGTGACGAAAATGAGGATTTTTGGTGACAAAATGTTGTTTTATTGGTGACAAAAAGTTTCGTCACTAAAGTAATTTCATTGGTGACGAAATTATTTTTCGTCATGATGCTTTTTAGTGACACACATTCAATGACGAACCCGGTGACGAAAATATTTCCTCACAAATATCTATAGTGACGAAATTAGCTCTTTGGAGACGAAAAAAATTCGTCATTCAAGACCCAACTTGTTGTAGTGTATGACTTGATGTGTCCTGGATGACCGCTCGAGCGGTGAAGAGGGTGCATCTAGTATTTTGCTCTACAAATTGAAATTCTGAGAGCTTGAGTTCACTGCTCGAGTGGTCTGCGCAATATCAGCAACTTAAAAGTTGCATTTTAGATCATTTCTTTCACTTTTTCTTTTCCTTTTCCTCTTCCTCTCCTCTCTTCTCAACTTCGAAAATCCTAATTTTCTCTCTCTAAATATCTCACTTTTCGCCAAGATCCAAGCCTAAACTTCTTACAAAAAATGAAGACTATGTAAAGATCTTGATTTTTACCTATTAGATTGCGATTTTGTCAAAGTTCTTGTTTGGGTCTTCATTGTTCACTCTCATTCTTAAGGTAAGAGACTCTCTTAACTCCATATATTTATGATTTGGTGTGATTTCTTAACATTTTGGGGTTATGGGTTGTAATGAGTTAGAAAACTTTGATGGAAAGTTGTTAATGGACAAAAATGGGGTTTTCACACAAATTTTTAAAGTGTCTTGAATGATTTAACATATTGATGAATAATATTTGATGATTTTTGGATTTGACAAAGAAATGAGGAAAAATCTCAATTTTCTTGAAACCCTAGATTTGGGATTTTTAATTTAAAAGAGGGTCTGAACTAATTGGTACTTTATGTTGAAATTTCAATTGATTTTCTTTGAATATATGTGAGTGGGATGAATTTTTGATTTATGATGATATTATTGACGATTCATGGAAGTTGAATCGTGTGGAAACTTGGGAATGTTGGAAGGATATAAAGTCAATAGTTTGCATGGAATTATTGTTAGTAATGAGAGAGACTTGAAGTCCTGGAAAAGAGAATATTTCATTAGTTTTTACTTGTTAGATTCTTGTGCCATTAAATTGAGTTTTGAATAAATTAGAATATTTTAAAATTCATGCATCACATTGCATTCTCATAGTTTTGGACTAAGTGTCTGGTGATTTAAAAGTGCATGTGTGTTTTAGGTATACATCGTGTGTGTTGAGGTGACCAATTTCCCTTTCGTGCTTGTAGGCCAAAAAAAATGTGGGAATATTATCAGTATACTATTAAGGTGCCCAATTGCCTTTCCATGCTAAACGCCAGTAAATTTAGGGGATATGGCTAAATAGATTGTTGGGTGTCCAATTGCCCCTCTGTGCTCGGTGGTAAATGTTGGATATTTTTAAAATGAAATGGGTGTCCAATTGCTTTTCCGTGCTCGATGGCCTGTAAATGTGGAGATGTTTTCAAAAGTAAGAGGTGCCCACTTGCCCTACTATGCTTGGTGGCCGGTAAATGTGAGGAGTGATTGAGATGTGTAACGTGAATTTTATTACAAAATGAAAAGTCCTTGGTTATGTTAAAGGTTAAAGAGTTGAGTCAGCCATGAATTTTAAATTATACATTGAGCATTTGAGTTTCAAAACAAAGACAATGTCTTAAGCATGGCATAGCATTGCATGAACATAATAATATCGTACATTTATATATTGGGTTAAGTTTATTTCATACTGAGCGTAAAAGCTCACTCTTTTTTTGGGCTGGATATCCAACATTCCGAGTAATAAAAAGGTGCCTCCAATTCGTTGAGAAGCAAATGGATTATAGATGGAGCACTGAAGCTCCTTTTGATGTTGTTTGTTTACAGCTATTGAGCTTACTTTCCAGGATAGAATTTTATTTTGTTGTGATCAAGGCCTTTAGTCTTGAAAGATGTAAGCCCTTATGGCAATTTGATATATATTTTATAATTCTACGTATTGTAAATCAATGTAATGAACTTGATGAAGAATCTATGAAAAACTGGTGAGTTTTGGCTTATAAGATTGTTGTTTTATGTTCCTTGTTCACATTAATGTTATAGAATTTGGTAACAGTAATGGATTGTATCTATAAAATGGTATAGAAATGTTAGGGCATTACAATTTGGTATTAAAGCTAACCAGGTTTGAATACCTTGAGCTCATAGGAAATGACGTTTGTCACAATGTGTTACTAGGTTAGAATAGGACATTTATAAGCTTTGTATGACTTGTGTGTACTTATGTGACTATGGGTATGGATTAAACTCTTAAGATGAAGTTTGTGCCTATGAATTTCTTAGGAGTCTTGTTACGAGGCCACTTGATCAATGCCATTCTAACTTGAATTCTTTGAACATTTGTGGGGCAAATTGGCATCTTAGGAGGATAATTCATATGTGCTTTATGTGATTGTGTTTATGTAGTTTGTCCATCGTTAAAATTGTAATGTGTATAGGCATGTGTAGACATTTTGGGTAGCATGCTTGGTTTCGTGTGGGATAATTTGTGAGCTAAGTTTTATCTTATTCTTATATAGGATGTTTGGACGTAGTGATAGAAGTCGTGGTAGAGCTCATCGTGGTGGTCAGGGTGTTCCCCTTCAAGGAGAGGGAGTAGGCCAAACTAACATGGCCGAACAAGAGGTGCATCATGTTATGGATTTGTTGGCTCAGGAATCGGTGGGTGCACTTTGAGAATCTATGAATATTTTGAGGGCTAAAGAAGTAGCACGGGCCGCCGTATGAGAGACTAGATCCTCTTCTTTAGCAAAGGAGTTCTTTAAGTCAAATCCTATGGAGTTTTATGGTTGGTCTAACCCGCTTCAAGTGGATAAATGGCTAGAACAGACGGTGAAGACGTTTGAGGTGTTTCACATTGTTGATGATGAGCTTCGGGTCACATTAGGGGCTTTTCAATTGAAAATGGGCGCAGGTCAATGGTGGAAATATGCCAAAAATCGTATAGTGCACACATGAGAGGCATTCACTCACGCATTCCAAGAGAAGTATCTTCTACCCACAACCAGGGAGCGTTTGAGGAAACATTTTGAAGAAGTTAAACAACTTGGCATAGCCGTAGCGGAGTTTGAGGCAGCCGGGCCAGGAGAGACTAGATCCTCTTCTTTAGCAAAGGAGTTCTTTAATTCAAAACCTATGGAGTTTTATGGTTGGTCTAACCCGCTTCAAGTGGATAAATGGCTAGAACAGACGGTGAAGACGTTTGAGGTGTTTCACATTGTTGATGATGAGCTTCGGGTTATGTTAGGGGCCTTCCAATTGAAAGAGGACACAGGTCAATGGTGAAAATATGCCAAAGATCGTATAGTGCACACATGGAAGACATTTACTCACGCCTTCCAAGAGAAGTATCTTCCACCCACGGCCAGGGAGCGTTTGAGAAAACAGTTTAAAGAGTTAGAATAGCTCGACACACCCTTAGCAGAATTTGAAGCAGCCTTTATTAGCTTGTCGAGGTATGTACGAGAGTTAGTGGCGACTGATGAGTGTTGTTGTTCGGAATTTGAGAAGAGACTTAGGTGGGAAATCAAGATGAAGGTGGTTGGCAGTATGATTCGGAGTTATGATAGACTTGTAGAAGCAGCCACACATGTGGACTGCTTTGCCAGATATAGAGTCGCCACCTAAATATTTTATTTTGGAAAAATTTAGGAAACCCATGACTCGTGCCAAAGGCTATGTGTCCGTCATCACCAAGATTGTCTCAGCTCGAGAACTTAGGTACGAGAGGGGAAGGTCATGAATTGAGCACCTCCGCTCGCCCGATCAAAGATTGGCCTCTACTAATCATAATATGATTTTTATGTACATTATATGCTCTTGTTCTGGTTTATTAGGCTTAGCATTTACTATGTGATGTGCGCATACACAAGGTATAGACTAGTTTGCCCAAATTGGAACGATTCAATTTCATGTTTGTTTTTTAAAAAGGGTTTGATTTTACCACTTAACAAAGTGAGCTTAAAGTTTGTGAATTTGTCACTTGACAAAGTGGGCTTAAATGTACGTTTATTGAATCATTCCAACTCAAGCAACAAGCCTTCATTCGCAGGCATTCAAACATTTTAACAAGTAAGCATTTAGCCTCATGGCAAGCATGTGTAGAAGTCCCCGAACGCCCCGGGAGGGTGAGTCCCGTATGTGTCCGTCATCACCAAGATTGTCTCAGCTCGAGAACTTAGGTACGAGAGGAGAAGGTCATGAATTGAGCACCTCCGCTCGCCCGATCAAAGATTGGCCTCTACTAATCATAATATGATTTTTATGTACATTATATGCTCTTGTTCCGATTATTAGGGTTAGCACTTACTATGTGATGTGCGCATACACAAGGTATAGGCTAGTTTGCCCAAATTGGAATGATTCAATTTCATGTTTGTTTTTTGAAAAGGGTTTGATTTTACCACTTAACAAAGTGAGCTTAAAGTTTGTGAATTTGTCACTTGACAAAGTGGGCTTAAACGTACGTTTATTGAATCATTCCAACTCAAGAAACAAGCCTTCATTCACAGGCATTCAAACATTTTAACAAGTAAGCATTTAGCCTCATGGCAAGCATGCTAGTCGTGGCAGTCACTTACACTCATGTACGTATGCTAAAGCACTAAAAACTCACCTAGTACTGCAAGCTAAGATAAAACAAAAGATTTAGAAAAATATGTATGATTCCTAACTATATAAGATGGCTAATGCATCACATGCAACAATGTAACTAAAATAGGCTCGGCTACTTAACATGTTATTTTTCAACAATTTCATAGCATGCGTTTAAACACGTATTCAATGAGGTAATAAACGACAATGCGAGTTTAAATGATGA